TAAAGCAAAATGAGTTAAACAAGAGAAATTCAAGCTTCACTTTTTTAGGTTTAAAGAAGTTGAAACTTTTAATAAAGTTGGACTATATAAATAATAAAAAATTTACTTTGACTCTTTAAGTTGTTTTATAGGAAAAATCCAAAACTTTTAACAACTTTATTAGTTTACACTTAGATACCTGAATAATAATACTATCAGAGTTTTACGTTCATATGACATAAGATAAAATGATTATGTAAATTTTTATATTTAAAAAAAAGTAAATATAATATCAAATAGATGTAAAAAATTTAGGTGTGTAAAAAAAATATTTTTCTATATACCTGTATTCATATCGAGTTTTCTTTTAAATTTTTCACCTTTTGATCAAATTGTATATATGCGTGTGTGAATCCTTAATATGAAACCGAGTTTGACCTAGATAATTGAGTGTAAAATTACAGTGTAACAACCATGTTATCGATTATAATAAGATTTTCAAAAGACAGCCTCATTTTATTGACCAAACATTACATAAATCTACAACCACCCACTAACACATACACATACACATACACACTCACATCCTCCAAGTCCAACTTTCAACACAACCACCACCTCCCACATGTGAGTCTTCCATTGTAATCAAATAATCAAGCTTTCACTTCATAAAATTCCAATGGGGAATGCCTTGGCAGGAAAGAAAACGACCAAGGTCATGAAGATCGACGGCGAAACCTTCAAGTTGAAGACTCCGGTCAGAGTCTGCGACGTCCTCAAGGACCACCCGGGGCTCGTGCTGCTGGAATCCGAGGCGGTCAAGCACTACGGCGTCAGGGCCAGGCCGCTCGAGGCCAACCGGGAGTTGGCGCCCAAGAGGCTTTACTTTCTCGTGGAGCTACCGCGCGAGGCGGCGGTGCTGCCACGGAGGGTGCGGTCCGGGATCAACATGAGCGCCAAGGACAGGCTGGAGAGCCTGGTGCTGGCGCGGAGGTCTGCGTCGGACCTCACCATCATGAAAGGGCAGGGGATGGAAGCGGCGGAGAACGGCGCAGTACGGCTGAGGATGCGGGTGGCGAAGGCGGAGGTGGAGAGGGCGATGCGTGGGTGCGAAACGGACGCGGAGGCGGCGGAGAAGATCGTTGGACTCTGCATGGCCAAAAGCGGCGAGGGTTCAAAAGCTCGTCAGGTACGTTATTCTTCATGCAAGTAAAATGTAAAATTATTATAAACATCTGTATTTTTTTTTATCTGATGTGAAATTTTTTAAATTATTTTAATTAGTATCATTAATTAATTTTGATTGACTGACTCTAACCTAATAATAGCAGTTTGTGTTTTTTAACTGAATATATCATTTTAAGACATGATGATGTAATTTTAAGTATGAAATAAGTTATTGATTATTTTTATGGATAATTAAAAAATAATTTAGTCAGAGTATAACAAATACAAGAGTTAACTTAAAGACAGATAAATTTAAAAAAAAAAACTACGTTAGTAACAAAAGTAATGCTTCTTCATGTCCTTTTTCTTGTGCAAGAAACACGAGTTGATTTTTTTTTTTCCATGCAAGAATATATTTTTAAATGTATTAGTTCTTAATATGTAGCATTATTGAATATTATCACTGTTTAATCATTCGATTTTATCTGTATTCTCGAACAGATTAAATTTAATGGACTTGAATATAGGTTTTTCTAGTATAAATCATCGAATTTTGTATTTGAATTTTTCATTTTGTTTTGCTGATGAAAGCATTAACAAATTTTCCCTTATTTTACTGTTTAAAATCTTGTCTGAAAAAATTTAAGGAGAAAAGTGAAGTAAAAATAAAATTTGGTAATTTGTCAGCGACAAAAGCATATCTAAGTATTATTTAAATTATTGAAATTTATATCAGAACATAAGTATTTATATAAGTATTTATAAACTGCTTTCAATAATTTCTTTATGAAATTACTTATAATTTAAATGAAAANCTGTGTTTTTTAACTGAATATATCATTTTAAGACATGATGATGTAATTTTAAGTATGAAATAAGTTATTGATTATTTTTATGGATAATTAAAAAATAATTTAGTCAGAGTATAACAAATACAAGAGTTAACTTAAAGACAGATAAATTTAAAAAAAAAAAACTACGTTAGTAACAAAAGTAATGCTTCTTCATGTCCTTTTTCTTGTGCAAGAAACACGAGTTGATTTTTTTTTTTCCATGCAAGAATATATTTTTAAATGTATTAGTTCTTAATATGTAGCATTATTGAATATTATCACTGTTTAATCATTCGATTTTATCTGTATTCTCGAACAGATTAAATTTAATGGACTTGAATATAGGTTTTTCTAGTATAAATCATCGAATTTTGTATTTGAATTTTTCATTTTGTTTTGCTGATGAAAGCATTAACAAATTTTCCCTTATTTTACTGTTTAAAATCTTGTCTGAAAAAATTTAAGGAGAAAAGTGAAGTAAAAATAAAATTTGGTAATTTGTCAGCGACAAAAGCATATCTAAGTATTATTTAAATTATTGAAATTTATATCAGAACATAAGTATTTATATAAGTATTTATAAACTGCTTTCAATAATTTCTTTATGAAATTACTTATAATTTAAATGAAAATAATCTGTCTCTACTGTTTTGAACAAACCAACCTCACTTATGTTTTTACAATAATTTTACTTTTAGTGATGTTGTAATATTCTTTTGAATCATTCATGAACCAAATTTCAGATTAAGCAACGTCTTCTTACCTTAGAAAGTTTTAGAGAAATAACTTTTTATTTATTTATTTATTTATTTAACAAAATGGAGTTGCATAACATAAACTAAGTATATTTTCGTACATTATTCGACCTGTGACGTTAGGGTCAATGCATGTAGTAGAATTGTTCTGTGAATAAGTTGACGTAGGGGGTTCAATCGCCTTTTATATTATTAAATGGAATTTATTTATTTTTCTTTTATATATCATTATTGCTGGTCACATGGTCAACGATTTATAGAAAAATCCTAAAACGGACAAAAACATAAAGACGTTTTTGTCAATCATTATCTATATTTCGCAACAAAACAACTTTATTAGTATTTATTGATTTATTTATCATTAAGAACATTTCTTACTTTAAACACTTATTTAACTTTTAGTACATAAAATTATAATTTCTATTAAAATACTTGCAATTTTTATATACGAAATATTAATTGATCATGAATGACTAGATGTAATAAGTGACAAGTTGTATTGGTTTCACTATAATACTTACTCTCACGTAATTTAGACCTTTTCTTTATAAACTTTTTACACCAGCAATCATTTTAGGACTTTCCTTTTCTTATGAAAGTTTTTGAGATATTTTATGAATATATAAAGCTAACTTTGAACATTTTAGCTATTAAAAATAATATTTTCGTTAATATTTGTTTTTATTTAGAATATTACAATTATAAATTCTTTCATCAAGCTAGATTCACGTACCCATCAACTAAAATTAAAATTAATTTATAATATATAAATAGAAACAATTCTAATTTTATATAAACTAGTTTTGTGATAAAGATGAGTTAAACTTAAATTTATTTTCTAATATAATATATGAGTATATCATAGGTATATATCATGATATAACATGATTATTATGTTGGATATCTCACGTTAAACAAAAATAACATAATTTTATAATGATGAATTAAAGTTATTAAACTCATTTCCTAAAAACAATTTATAAATGAAAGATAACACTTATATTTTACTAAAAAGAATTATTGAATTTGTAAAAGTTCAGATATATACTTAAACTCTCGTATACTAGAAGGGTTAAATATGTTTTTAGTCCCTAAACTATTGGTTGTTTCTGGTTTTCGTCCCTCTTTCAAAGTAAGGTACAGTTTGGTCCTCATTCTTTTCGAAACGTTCGTTTTAGTCCTCGGAATTTTGGTTTTAGTCCTTATTTGTTTTTAAATGAGGACCAAATTTTTAAACAGTGTTTAGTTTTTGAGGACTAAAACGAACGTTTTCGAAAAGAATGAAGACCAAATTGTACCTTACTTTGAAAGAGGGACGAAAACCAGAAACAATCAATAGTTTAGGGGCTAAAAACATATTTAACCCATACTAAAATGGTTAGGTTTATCAAATCATTATAAGACCTGTAACTTTATTGTTCTTACCTTAAAGAAACCTAAATTCAAATTCAAACAAAATATATATATATATATATATATATATATATATATATATATATATATATATATATATATATATATATATATATATATATATATATATATATATATATATGATAAGATTTTATATTCCCAGTTTTTATAAATTTGAATCTCCATCTGTGCTATGTAATGTATTGAACATACATCATAAATGAAAGAGCATGACATATATAGTTGTAAGAAAACACAAGAAGAGATTCCTCAGCATTCACATTGATATAGTTGACGACAAGCAAAACAGAATGGATAAGAAAAGCAGTTTAAACATCATTTCATGCGAACAAAAACTGATATCAAAAGGGTTAAGCGCCATGTCCTTTTCAAGTTGTTGGGTCTGCACAGAATAAAGATTTTTCCACAGATATTATATATAACATTTGCTTTAATAAACACAAACTTCCATGCTGACTATCATTCTTTATCAAAGAGTGGTTGTCAAAATTAAACTATTCCATGCAAGTTTGTCTGCATTTTAAATTTAATTTAATCGTACAAAACTTACTAATAAAATAAACTTTTTACACTAATTTATATATTTAAGTAAAATATCTAATACATTTTCTTAGATCAAGTTATATGTATTTTAAATTGAAACTAATTATTATTAATGGTCCCGTCTTATTTATTTTAAGTGGGAAATTTATTATTAATAATGATTCAATAATAAGTGATGAAATAAGTCTAACTAATAATAAATATGGCTATGATGATTCTGATATTATTTTAAAAAATAAACTTTAAATTTAATTTAATTTTAAAAAATAAACTTGTAAATATTTTTATAATATAAGAATTTATCTTATTTTTTTAGTGAAGGTTGGATTATGAATTGAATGTTTGGATGATGAATTGTTGCAGAAAAGAGTGAGTTTTATGGCAATCAGTGAAGGAGGGAGTCCTATAATAGGAGTGGCTTCATGAACAGTTATTTTACATGAATTAGCCTTCATGAGAAAATGAGCTTCACGGTGCTTTTATTATTTAATTATAAGACTGATATTGTTTACATTTTCTTGCTATATATATATATTTTTGTGTATGAGTCACAAACTGTTGCAATAATTATATATGGGTGTTTCTTATAAACAGTACCTTTGTAGTTGTGAATAACAGTAGTGAATGTACATCGTTTCAAATAACACCTCGTCGTTTTTCTTTCTGCATCTTAACATTTTCAGAATTTATTTTCCAAAAAACAAAAACAGTTCTTGAAATTTGTAATTCTTTGGTAATTAATTTGTCTTTGGCTGATGACCGGGGGACAAAAACCCTCACTTGAGAGGTACTCCATAACCATAACTTTATATATATATATATATATATATATATATATATATATAAGATTATGATGTTCAAACCTTATTATGTAGGAGTGTTGACTTAGTGTTTTCATGGCTGTTTTTGTTCTTTTAACAGTCTGACTGATAAAAAAAAATTGTTAAAGGTATTTAAATATTTTTGATACGGACAAACCGTAAATAATTTTTTATATTACTTTAATATTTTCAATACATTAATATTTGTTTTAAAATTCACAATACCAACACTATTTAATAGTGGAAAAATATTCATTTCACATGCAATCTGCTTAATTTGACTTGATAACAAAAATACAAAAAGGTTCACCTAACCATTATCATATATGAATTAATATCAACTTGTCCCATTTAAAAACTTTTACATTATATATATATATATATATATATATATATATATATATATATATATTATCAATATAACCATTAAATGTAAACTCGTTAAGCAGAAGAAATTTACAAAATTCTTAATTTTCTCCACCACACTTTTTAAAAACATAGCTTACTATTTGACATGCTGTTGCTTGTAAATGTACGCTAAACCTAAAGCCTAATCTTGACAACACTAAATTTTTAATACATAGTTCATGTCATTCACAACCTTTATTTGTTCTTTTATTGTAACTACTATAATTGAAGTATTAGATTTAACATGAACTTATTATTGGGAAGTATTAGACTTGTATGTAAATTCAGAGTATTCATAACACTAATCTTTCTTCCTTTAAAATTTAATCACATACTTTTCTTTAAGAAGGTATATGCAAGACTTGCTTCACTTCTCTCTGAAACTCAACATAACTTACTAAGGTCATGCAATAGACCAGTTTGTAGAACTTTTTTCTTTTTACTTATTTACTATTTTCCTGAATTTGTATAAAGAATTCAAAACAAAATTTAAAGTATTATATTAAATAAAAGTGGCCGAAATAAATAATACATAAAAAAAAAACTTAAAATTTTAAGGTAAAAATGATGTCATGATTTCATATAAGATTAATTCATCATATTACTACTTATATATCTTTTTTATACAGAAAACATTAATTAATGTCATTTGTAAATATATTTAAGAAGTAGATTTTAAATTTAATTCAACTTTACAAAATTAACATGTAAGGTTCATCTCTCACATGGAGACCTATAACCTTATAATACCAACTTGTAAGATAAGAGATTCAATAGAGAAACACATCACTAATAAAACCTGAATCCAACACATATAAAAAATTAACACCATTTTTAACTCAATTTTAAATTAATGAATTTATAAGTCTTTATCTTTATATAATATTTAACTTTCTTGTTTTTACTCAATGTGAAACTTATACTCATACTTGTTTGTTTAATAATATTCCACTAAGCATATTAATATGAGTTTGTCACTGAAACTAACTATTAACCTCATTAAAAAATAAACTTTAAATCTAACTCAATCTCATGAAATTGATTTGTAAGATAAGATTTTCACCTATATATCATAAGTTGACATTATCTATATAATTGATATGAGATTTATTACGTCACATGGATTTGGTCTGATTGTGATCAGGTTTATACTCTACATATACTAAGTATATGATCTTCTGTTAAGAACATGTTTGAGTACATAATATTTATTGATAATCCGAGTACAATGATGCTTCGTCATTTCTAATATTTGTAATAAAAGGTACAGGAATAACAACATGTTATAAAAAAAATATGGTTTTAATCTCTAAATTATTATAAATAATTGTGTTTTCTCCTAAAATTAAATTATAAAGTATTTCATCCGTGTTTTATAAAAATCATGTAAAACATTCTCTATAACAAATAGCACGTAAAAATTATATTATAGTCCAATATAAAACTCCATTTCTCACATTAGAAATACTCTACATATAGTTTGTTGAGAGGATATTTTATATGACTGTCACATAATACAAGAACTAAATACTTTATAATTTAGTTCAAGGACAAAACATAATTTTTTATAATAGTTTGGAAATAAAAAAAAAACATATTTAACCTATATGAAAATTACTCTATTTCTGATATGTTTTTATGGTGTAATCTAAGCTATCTTCAATTAACACAAATGTTTTCAGGACAGGAACCACTGATACATTGTTTTATTTGAGAAGCAATTCGTTACTTGAAAATTCACAAAATAGAAAAGAAAAACTGATACAAAAAATACATGCAACAGAATGAGAACCAGCTCAAAGAAAGCATACATGTATTGATAGATGATAACAACGTAAGAAGAGACTAATCAAGCTCGTCCAGTGCGCTTTCCAACTTTGAGTGCTAATTCGGTGTCTATTTTGAGAGAGATGTCTAGTGCTTTCACTGAATGAGTCAATGAACCACTGCCACAAAACAAGTCACAAGCATGGTAAATTTTCACTTTTAGGAAATATTACAAAAAGTTTCTTAAACAATTGCAACCATGCTATACCAAAATAGAAAACAACCATAGTAATTATTTTGCTTGAAAAATGCAAGAAAGGGATTCCCACATACATGATGCAGGAGATTGTAATTTATAAGAACAGGATATTTGTTCACTCATTGGCCAAGATTGTTGAAGAGTTGAACCCCATGTATTATTTATATTAAGCTTAGATATTGTGATCTTCAAATATGATTTTTTTTAGATTGGATAAATGGGTCAATCTTGTTTTGGTCTACATATATATGGACAGGGTTAGGCTAACCTGCTTTCTAAAAAATAGTTCAGATGTGAAGTAAAAGGAACTCATTAACGGAATCAATCTGAAACAGACTACTTGAGACACAAGTTCCAAAAACAGAATAACTCTGAATGAGGTCATAATACCAGATACTATGAAATGATGTGGAACTACCAAACTTAAAAGTTTACCTAGAAATGTAGGTCACTCCACTTTGCCCGATTTTATGTACAGTATCTAGTGTGACATTGCCTGATGCCTGAGATCACAAAAATGAAACTAGAAATTAGCAACTAGAATTATCCTCATCCAAAATTTATGGTATCCACAAAATAACTGAGATTCTGAAATTATTAAGTAGTCCAAATTAATAATGATCCCAATAATGCAAAAGAAGCTAACTAGTTCAAAGTAAATATGGATTATGACTACGCAAGCTGACAACAACCTAAAGAATATCTTTCACAGCATGAACCCATAAAAAAATTTACCACAAGGTATAAGTGTAAACCCTTAATTTGTTTTACATATCGCTTAGCATATTCCCATATATGTCTTTAGATGATCAGACAATTGAGAAAGCATGCCGGTTCATCAATAACTTGACAGAAACAAAGAAAAATGATAGAAATAAAAAAGGATATAAAATCCGTACCAAAATATTGTGCATTGTTTTTTCTAACAAATAATTCAAAATATACTGTAAAGATTAACTAAGAAAATTTAGTCGTGATCGTGAATACCTCAGTCTCATATCTCCCATTGATCAACTGCACAGCTTCTTTAAGCATGGATATGTCCACGTCCCCATTAGGTAGAGGTACAACCATATTGTCTAACATAATTCGAGTCAAAGAAGTCTTTGTTTGGGATGAATAATGTAACACTTCTTCCACTTCCTCAAGAGTCCTGGTCTCAACCTGGAAAAAAACACAAATGGGACACCCTTGAAGTTGCGTCAACTGTTATAAGACATCTTCCCAAACCTTCACATTGATAAGACGGTGAATTTTGGATGAGAGCATGTTAGAATATAAGAAGGGGGGAATTAGTTACGGTAGTTAGAATATAAATGAGACAGTTAGTTAATCAGTTTGAGGGGTTAGTTAGATTTAAGTAAAGGGGAGAAGAATAATAGAGTTTCTGATTTGTTGTCATTGTAAACTGAGCATTGACATTTTGTGAAGGGAATTAGAGCGTTTCTCTTCTATTCATTGTTATGTTCATCCCTTTGAATAGAAGAATATTTCTTCTTTCTTATTTCAAATTTTTGGTTCCTAACAGAGTATCATTACACAGTTACAAAGGCAGTAAGGACAAGAATTTCAATTGTAACAACTACTCATGTGACAGGTAGGAAAGGAGACAACAGAGCTGTGAAATCTGGTAAGGGAAATGATAAAAGGGCTGGCTAGGGGAAGAAAGGAAACCGATCAATCATTCAATAAGGAGTTATGGCACTAGGGTGGCACTAGACCGTCAACAATCCCCAGGTATTTCTTTTTATCCATGTTTTTTTTGCTTTTCAGTGTGATAAAGCAGGATTTTCCCTTTTGTGATGATTTATCTCCATTAATACTTATCAGTAAAATATGGCCCCATCATATTGTTTATGCATCAACAAATAATTTGTTACACAAATAGTTATTAAATTATCCTATAGCACATCACTAATAAGTCAGTTGGAACCTGGCAGGCAAAACAATTTCCCTGAACTTTCAAAGAAATGGAAAAAGGAAAAGAAATGAGTAAAACAATGAGAGAGAACACTACCTCAACCTCCATTTGAAGACTATTTTGCTCCAGATAAAGGTCAACAGCTTTAAGGGCACCTGTAACACCTCCAGCTGCTGATATGTGATTATCTTTTATCATCACCATATCAAACAAACCCATCCTATGGTTCCGACCTCCACCAATTAATACCTGTAAAAGCAAATGTTCGTCGTTTATTAAGTAAATTTTATGCTTTAAAGCATAAGATTAATAATTGAAAGGAAGTGATCCAAAGGGCCAGACCGCCCACTTATCCACTAAACGTAAAGCTGGAGCAGTTTTTCTAGTCTCCAACATATATGCAGGGTATGCTGCATTTGCCATTGCCTGTGGAAAAACACAATCTGT